GAGATTTGCAGCTTTAAGTATAGGGATTTAAAAGTAGATATGTACTTAGCAGGTGTCTTAGAGAGGGGAGCCCTGATACTTAGCAGGTGTCTTAGAGAGGGGAGCCCTGATACTTTCATGTTTAGGCAGGAAATGCATTGATGTCACCTGTGTTTTCCTTCTCCATCTGCATAGGTTTGGGGTTGAAGGATACAGGTAAGTAGACTCCAATCAAGCAAGCAGCCATCCAGTTGCAGAGAACGTAGAAATCCCATCAGTGTGATGCAGACCGTCGGAGCATTTGAAGGCAGCATTCGGTTAGAGCTGCCTTGGGGGTCTGTGACCCCATGCCCTCGCAGTAGAACTGAGACCCCTGTGTCAGTAGAGGGGCTAAAAGGAGGGAAAGGACATGAAATCAGCAGGTGGGACACTTCCGGGCGGAAGAACATTCTTATACGATGCGTGCAGCTAACCTACTTGGGCGTGTCCATTACAATATGGGCATACGGTGCTTCCTGGGATTCAAGATGCCCAGAGAGGGCCGTTAACCATTAGTGGCTACCGAAACACGGGAGGAAAACAGTATCTACTTTTTCTTTGTAATTTATCCAAGCATAAAGGAATATGGCGCTGTGGGGCGCTATTACCTTTTTTCCATTTCCACTGCGTTAAGAAACCGGTTAGAGTGGAAGAGAACCAAAGCATAAGAGACTCTTAACAACTGAGAACAAACTGAGGGTTGATGGGGGGTGGGAGGGAGGGGAGGGTGGGTGATGGGTATTGAGGAGGGCACCTGTTGGGATGAGCACTGGGTGTTGTATGGAAACCAATTGGACAACAAACTTCATATATTGAAAAGAAAAGAAAGAAACCGGTTTCGGGGCATCTGGGCGGCTCAGTCAGTTGAGCGTCCTACTCAGGTCCTACTTGTGATCTCACGGTTCATGGATTCGAGCCCCGCATAGGGCTTGTGGCTGTCAGCACAGAGCCTGCTTGGGATCCTGGGCTTGGGCACCATGGGCTAATGTCAGAGTCTCTGCTGTCAGCCTATGCTCAGAGTGAGCATCAGATATCATCTTTATCCGTTGCGTTTTGAAGGACGTTTGCCTCCTCCGTTATGCTATGCCAAACGCCACGTGCTGCTGTCCTCTTTCTGTGTCGCACGGTGCCGTGACTCGTCATCTCGCGTGCTGCTCTGGAAGTCCTGTGTCCCGAATCAGCTTTCTGAGAACAGGCACCGCCACTACATGCGAATCCGTGCGGCTTCCTGGGATTGCCGCTTACGTGTCACAACAACGGTATGGAATGGCCCTGCTATCACCCCGTCTTTGACAGGCTCCGTGTGACGGGGGGGGTGGGGGGCAGAGCCTGACAGGTCCAAGTCAGAGCTGGGACGTAGACCCGAGGGGCTGAGGGCAGCTCCTGCCTTCTTCTTAATCACATTCTCTTGATCATTGTACTGGCTTGTGGTCCTGGAAAGAGTCCCATGCTAGACCTTTATGTCAGACAAGGGACTTCCTTTATAAAGTTTGCATTGAAAACAGACCCTCCATTTGGAATGCACACGGAGGCCAAGATTTTCCTGCATAACTCTTAAGACTTTTGCTGGTTATGGAGTGCCTTGGTGGCTCAGTCGGTGAAGCGTCCGACTTCGGCTCAGGTCATGATCTCACTGTTCGTGGGTTTGAGCCCCGCGTCGGGCTCTGCGCTGACCACTCAGAGCCTGGAGCCTGCTTCGGATTCTGTGGCTCCCTCTCTCTCTGCCCCGCCCCCTGCTCGTTTTCTCTCTCTCTCTCTTTCTCTCTCTCTTTCTCAAAATAATAAATAAACATTAAAAAATTTAAAAAAAGAGTTTTTCCGGTTAAACTCTTCCCACACGGATGGCATGGGGACCATACACTGCCCAGTACGATAGTTGGGCATCCAGAAAGAACTCTGAATTCCAGTGCTTTTTCTCTTTGCTCTCTTTTCCCTGGGAGGAGGATGTTGTAGTCTGTGCAGTGGACATCCAAGCACCTTAATGTGTTTGTTCTAAGGCTTTTGACTCATATCAGGTGTCTGATTAATATCAACAGAGACCATGACGGTGACGACGACAACAACGCCGATGGCCTGGATGGTGACGCTGAGTCAATTCCACTTAGCCCTCCGGAGATGAGACTGCATCTGAGGTCCACGCCAGGACACCGTGCGGGCAAACGGTACATGCCTCTCGGAGCTCCTGCGTGCCACAGCAGCGCGCCGCCTGCACAGCCCAGCTCAGCGAGGTGACGACGAGACATCTGTTCGTGTGAACTTCTAAATATCAAGGTTGACGCATAACACGAGCGCCTCTGTAGCTCTGCTTCATACTCTCGTCAGAGGGCAACATCCAGCAGTTAGGTCAGGCAACACATAGTTTGCAAGAAGAACGTGTATTCCCAGCTGAGCCGGGGGCACAGCGGGGCTCATCCTCCCTGGCGAGCCACCATCGTGTTTATGAACGTATTCAGGGAGGACAGTGTCTTTCTCTGGCTGAGTTCAGCTCAGAGTGAGTGAGCCGGCCCAAGGAGACACAGTGGGTCCCAATGTGGTTTGAAAACTCTCTTTCAAACCCCCCTGAATCTTGAGTTTGAGGAAATCCATTCTGATGGAGAAAATCCACATCCGTGTCCTCTGATAAAACCATGAAGCTGGAAAAGGTTGCTCATAAGGCTGTAACTCACCCCATCCTGGTCTGGGCTCCTTTCGTGACCTGCGCTTATTTTATTGACGGGAGAGGAAGTTAAGAGGTTGTTAGCGTCAGAAACCAGACCAGTAACAGCAGCAACCAGACAGGTCGGACTTCTTTCCACACCAGAACCCCGGAGACTTCCTCGAACCCAAGGAGGCACGTACGACCAGTTCTGCCTCCCGCATTTCCAATGTGGCCAACACGTTCTAAGGAAACAAGACGTTTTGGAAACAATTCAGAATTTCTTATTTAACTTCAAAAGGTATTTAGACATAATTCTCCTCAACATGATAGTCTGGTGTGAGATTAAAACCATATATTTTATTTTATTTATTTATGTTTAAAGTGTATTTATTGATTTTGAGAGACAGAGAGAGTACAAGTGGGGAAGGGCCAGAGAGAGAGGGAAAGAGAGAGAATCCCAAGCAGGCTCCACACTGACCCCACAGAGCCCGAGCTCGTGAACCGTGAGATCATGACTCGAGCCAGAAACAAGAATCAGACGCTTAACGGACTGAGCCACCCAGGCGCCCCTAAAACCAAGTATTTTAAAATGAACAGAAAAACCCATATGTTGGTAGCACATTATAAATAAATGGTTATCTATGATGGTTAATATTAATGCGCTATACCATAAAGAACCATGCTGAAGTCAGAGGTCTACACCACATAATAGTCATGATGTTCCCATAATACTCATTCACCATTTCAATATATTAGAGAAAACATATTTTTTTCCTGAATTATAGCTCTGGAGTTCTCTGACTGCTTTGAAGCCTGGTTTATAAATACCAGCTTTTGGTGACACAGCTTCTTTATTAAGGACCTAACAAAAGACACTAACCTACACAGTGATTTCTACCAGTAGAAGAAAAGGAAGCGTAAATTCATTGCACGCCAAGGGAAAAATTCAACGGTGCTTTCAAAGGAGTGCAGCTTAATTACCTCGGGACAGGGAAGCCAATTATAGTTTGAAAAATTAAGAGGGGGCAGACAAAATGTTTGTGCTTTCTCTTCTCTTCATTTGATGTAGTTTTGATGAAAAGATTGAGAACTGTTGATGAGCAGGGCAGAAGCAAAGGTAGCAGGGCTCGGGTGCTCCTCTTTTCCTGTATTTGATTATGTGAAATGTGTCAGAACAGTGCCCTTGTTGGGCTTGCCAGTAGCCTCCAAGAGGTGGCACATAAATCCCCGTTTATTATTATTATTATTATTATTATTTTAGAGAAACGAGCCTTCCATTGACCCATGAAGTCATAGAGTGAAAAAGAAAAGCACATCTTTGGGTCGGGTTCCATGAGTAATAATTCCAGTGGGGATGTGTTGCTCATTGGCGTTCTCCTGTTGTTTTAGTCCCGTTACTTGAATAAAATTGTTTTTTAATTAAAAACACTTTTTTTTTCAAAGTGTATTCATTTTTGAGAGAGCACAAGTGGGGAAGGGGCAGAGAGTGAGGGAGACACAGAATCCGAAGCAAGCTCCAGGCTCCAAGCCATCAGCACAGAGCCCGACGCGGGGCTCGAACCCATGAACCATGAGATCATGACCTGAGCTGAAGTCAGATGCTTAACCGACTGAGTCACCAGGTTCCCCTTAATAAATTTTTTTTTAATTAGGGCAAAAGCTCTGATTTTTAAAGAAACTGCCCAGTCTCTCTCTCTCTCTCTCTCTCTCTCTCTCTCTCTCTCTTTAGGAGAGAGACACAGGAAAAATGGTTAGGAAACTTTGGGGCCTGCTGCCTGATTTTGAGAACGCTGATTCCTTTTGGGATAGTTGTCCTTTGTGCACATTTACATTTTCAAACTGTCCAGGAGGGCATGGCATGGTGATGAAGCCTGTGGCTTGGGAGTCAGACAAAAGTCACACCACAGCTCATTTTTTTGAGAAAGAGAGAGAGAGAGAGCTCAAGCAAGGGAGGGGCAGAAGGTGAGAGAGAAAGAATGAATCTTAAGCAGGCTCCACGCTCAGCACGGAGCCTGACGCAGAGCTCGATCTCACAACCTGGGGATCACCACCTGAGCTGAAATTAAGAGTTCAACGTGCAACCGACTGAGCCACCCAGGCGCCCCACTGGGACTATGTATCTCTAATATTTTGCTTTCATTCCTAGCCTGCTGCACATTTTCATCATGGATGGGCACCAGATTTTATAACATCTTTTTTCAGCATGACTTGAAAGGATCACGTGAACTTCCTCCTTTAATTCATTAATTTCAGTCAATCACGTTATTATTTTTTGCAGTGTTTGCATTTCTAGAATAAAGCCGACTTGCTTACAAAGAAGAATGACCTGGTCACTCATTTAATACAGTATTAACTTTAACCAGTTAAGAGTTTATTTAGGGTTTTAGCATCTACGTTCAAATAAGAGGCTCCTTAAGTACACCAAAGACAGCCCAGCTACTAGTGACAACAGTGATGGTCATACAAAAGGTTAATGGGTCCGAGAAGAATATCCAAAGGTTAAATGAATTTCTCGTGCTCAGAAGACGTGGACTCGGTATACTGCTGTCTGGAATCACCAGGGGGAACTCTAGGCATCCTTTGGATGAATCTTCATGGAATTTTTTGTGCATGTTGTTACAGGTCACCTCCAGGGAAGATCCAAAGCAATCCAGGGGTAAAGGAATTGCCCTGTGAATGAAGCAGATGAAAAGTTATGTTTCGGTCCAGAAATCGAAAAAGGAATGAGTCAGGATATCGTTTTTTAAAAACTACTGTAGACAAACATGGGCCACTTGAACATGAATGTAGATACTGGATGGTGGTGGGGTCGGGGCAGGTTTGCTGCACGTGCATCTAGAGGAAGTGGGTTAGAATCCTAGGTCTTTCGCTTGTCATAGGGATTCTTATGCTGGACTTCGCTTTGCGGGGAGACAACAATTCCAGAAGTAATAGGTAAAGTTTCCTGGGGTCAGATTCTGTAGCTTTCATTAAAAAGCCAAGTGTCCCTGACTTACTCATCGTTAGACTTGGGTGTGTGACTTTCAGTGGTCCGACCTCCCTCTGGCTGCCCTCTCTATCAAGGGGGACGGTCAGTCCCAATTACTTCAAAGACGAGATGTGGACTCAAATTATAAAAAGTCGAATCTAAGTGTATATGCACAGAAGGACTTGTTTTAAGAATAAATAAATATGGCAGGCAATAAAATCTTACAGACCATTTACCTTGAAATCAAGCTTCTGAAAACATTCAGCAAATATTTAGATAAACTGAGGCATCCAATTGTAGAACAGTAGGATTCTCTCATAAAATCTACGCACACACACATATTCTTTCCTCCACAAATCCCACTGTTATCACTACCAAAGAAACTGTGTTGGGCTGGATTAACCTTATCCATCAAGCGTAGTGTTATGCTAAAGCTAACATTTCAGCAAGGCTTCCTGATTTGTTAATAGCTGAATAAACACACGGCCTTCCTTTAATGGAACACATAAAGAAGCTGCTGGAATTGTAGCACAGAGAGCCATGGGAAGATAAAAAAAAAAAAGCTTACTTTTTTTTTAAAGTTTATTTTATTCATTTAGAAAGAAAGAGAGAGTGGGGGAGAGACAGAGAGACAGAAGGAGAGAGATAATGCCAAGCAGACTCCGTACTGTTAGCACGGAGCCCAATGTGGGGCTTGATCTCATGAACCACGAGATCATGACCTGAGTGGAAATCAAAAGTCAGATGCTTAACGGACTGAACCACCCGGGTGCCCCAAGAAAAGGAGAATTTAAATAGCAATCTCCCTTGCTCTGGATTTCATATCCTTCATGTTTCCCATTTGATCCCATGTGGATTGGTTGCTTGAGGTTCTTTTAACTCAGAACCCTCACATTTTGAAGGCTGAGCTTTGTTTCTTATCTAACTTGTGGGTTTCCTATTGGAGCATACAAAGGCTAGATCATTCCACCTTGGGACTTGGAGATATCAGATAAGGTGGTCTCCATGAGTGTAACATGTTTCTCAGCTGAACTAAATTACAAAATTCTGATCAATGGGAATCAAGGTAATGGTGATAATGTCTCCTACTTTTTACAATCTTACTTTGCAATTCTCCGAAGGAAATTCCATTGTATGAGATGGTCTCATCTCAGCTCCCCAAATAAAATTGATCGTAGATGTGTCAAAGTAGAATCATTTTGAACTACTAGGGGCCAAAATTTTCTCCTATGTGATTGTATGACTGGACAATGGCAAAGTGGATGCTATGAAAAATTCTAAGTGCGGTGAATATTGAGGCTTACAGGGGAGGCAATCACTTATACCAGAAGACAAGGAACTTATAGAATCAAAAAGAATAAGTTAATGAGATATCAAGCCAATGGAAGCATTTTATTAGAAAGTAGGGCTGTACACCTGTCAGAATGGCTAACAACTCAGGCAACAACAGATGCTGGCAAGGATGTGGAGAAAGAGGATCTCTTTGGCATTGTTGGTGGGAATGCAAGCTGGTGCAGCCACTCTGGAAAACAGGATGGAGGTTCCTCAAAAAACTAAAAATGGAACGACCCTATGACCCAGCAATTGCACTACTAGGCATTTATCCAAGGGAGACAGGTGTGCTGTTTCGAAGGGGCACATGCATGCCCATGTTTATAGCAGCACTATCGACAGTAGCTAAAGTATTGAAAGAGCCCAAATGTCCATCAATGGATGAATCAATAAAGAAGATGTGGTATGGGACGCCCAGGTGGCTCAGTTGGTTGAGCGTCCGACTTCGGCTCGGGTCATGATCTCGCGGTCCGTGAGTTCAAGCCCCGCGTCGGGCTCTGTGCTGACAGCTCGGAGCCTGGAGCCTGCTTTGGATTCTGTGTCTCCCTCTCTGTCTGCTCCTCCCCCGCTCATGCTCTGTCTGTCAAAAATAAATAAACATTAAAAAAAAAAAAAAGATGTGGTACAACATGAATGTCTGTTGAATGGTTTCTAAGTGCCACGCACTAGCCTGAAGGTTTTATATACACATGCACTTCATTCAATCTTCCATTATTGGTCTCATTTTACATAAAAGGAAACTGTGACATTAAAGAGAGATTTCACTGTCCACAGTTTCCTCAAGTGCAGGGCCAATATTTGAAAGTCAAGGTAGTTTGACTCTCGACGTTACGGTCTAAGATATGTTTGCATGCAAATCTTTGGAGTACCAAATCAGATGCCCAAACAAAAAGGTTTATGTGACCCACAAGATGTCAGGCAGTTACTGCAAATGGGAACTTTCCAATTAGAAACCATAGACAAAGATGAATCCTGGTCTGGTTCCTTGAAATTGAGCCTCTTGTCTTCAGGGAACTGAGTTCCTATGTCCTTTCTTGCTCTTGTTTCTGGATGAGTGGACAAGTCAGCAAAGACCTCACTGTAGTGAAGTTATGAAAAAATACAGCGTCAGGCCCGAGGCAAGAATGACTAAAGAATCACCTGATCCACTGGAATGTCCCCTCATTCTGACACATTTATGCCTGCATGACAAGAAGCCATCTGAATGCTGATGGCCATGACTGTGAGATGTTCAAGCACAAAATACACATGTCCTAGGACCCCATTTTAAAAGGAGATTTGCATTATGTCTAAGAAAATGCTGCTTGGAAAATATGCATACAAAAATGTGACTTAAACTCCTAGCTACGTGAGAGTACAGATAAATCGTGTTTTTTCTGTTAATTTCTTTTTTTTCTATCCTAAAATTTAGGTAATGCGTGTAACAAAACTGGTAGTTTTAAAAACCAATTGAACAAACAAGTGTTAAGTGTCTACTATGGGTGAGACATTTTGCTAAGAAATTCAAGACACAGCTGGTAAACTTCAGGGACCAGACCTTGTTGGTCTTCACCATCTCTGTGGCCCCGCTGCCCTGGATTGGCACTGAGTAAGGCCACATAAGTATTTGTTTAATAAACAAATGGAGAGAGACTCATCCACAACTGAGAAATTAATATTTTGTAGGTGTTGTGATAGAATTATACACAGTGGAAGCAAGGAGGGGAAAATTCACTGGTGGGTGGGTGGGGTTGAGTGTTGTGAACTGGAGACTCTAGGATGTGATGCCCGAACTGCACCTTATAGTAAGAGGTGAGGGGAGTTAGGAGGGCATGATGCCCGGAGGGTGAGCAGGAAACCAGAGGGAGGAAGCCCATCAAAGTCAAAGGAAGCTGGATGAAAACAGCCTGGTGCCGGCCAGCTCAGGGTTGTTACAAATAGCGAAAGGAGGAGACAGAGAGAGAGCAAGAACATTGCAGGGAAATGAAACTTCTAGATTAGCAGGAAAAGTCAACATTGACTTTTTTGCAGATGAAAAGACCAAGGATTACAGGCAAAACAAATTAAGACCATGAAATAAAATGACATGACAGGCGCAGAACATGACAGAATCAACAGATTCAAGAAAACACAAGAAGAAAGGAATTATGGACCAAATCTGAACAAAAGGTATTCCTGTAGAAACTCTAATTAAGTGCTATCTCCATTTGCATAAAAATGGCACAGATCCTTCTTTTTGGGTGGTAGTTCTGAATGGTTTTTTTTTTAATTTTTTTTTCAACGTTTTTATTTATTTTTGGGACAGAGAGAGACAGAGCATGAATGGGGGAGGAGCAGAGAGAGAGGAAGACACAGAATCGGAAACAGGCTCCAGGCTCTGAGCCATCAGCCCAGAGCCTGACGCGGGGCTCGAACTCACGGACCGCGAGATCGTGACCTGGCTGAAGTCGGACGCTTAACCGACTGCGCCACCCAGGCGCCCCGAGTTCTGAATGGTTTTAATGGACTTCTGGCTTATCTTTTTTTTTTTCTAAAATAACTATGCACTTTATCACTATGTCTTTACTAAGAATATACTTAAAGAGGACATATCAGAAACTCATAAATAGGTTGTAGAGTTATACAAATATTTAGTAAAATGTTTTTAAAATGCCAGCCTAGGAAGTTACAGAGAGGGAGGGAGGCAAACTATAAGAGACTTTTGAATACTGAGAACACACTGAGGGTTGATGGGAGGTAGGGGGGAGGGGAAAGTGGGTGATGGGCATTGAGGAGGGCACCTGTTGGGATGGGCACTGGGTGTTGTATGGGAACCAATTTGTCAATAAACTATATTTAAAAATAAATTTAAAAAATAAATAAAATGTGTGTGTTAGGAAATAAGCCTTATTTATCTAGGTTATTAAATCATTATGCAATTAATAAAATCTGATTTCCAAATTTAAAAAATAAAAATAAAATGCCAGCCTAGGGATTCAATTGATTTCTCAATAAATACTGTTAACATGTAGCAAGTGCAGTAAGTATATTAAAAAGAGAAAGAAAGAAAGAAAGAAAGAAAGAAAGAAAGAGAAAGAAAAGGAAAGAAAGAAAGAAAGAAAGAAAGAAAGAAAGAAAGAAAAGGAAAGGAAGAAAGAAAAAGAAGAAGGAAGGAAGGAAGGAAGGAAGAAAGGAAGGAAGGAAGAGAGAGACAGAAGTGGGGAGGGAAAGAGGGAGGGAGGGGAAAGTGAATCCTTCCAGATCTTGCTATATGTGCAGATAGTAGACTGACCTACTGTCAAGAGCAGGACTCACTGCTCCATCAAGAACTTTGTCTCAACAAGCATTATTTACGTCTGGGTATTCTATCCCTTATTGCCACTCATTGCGAAATAACCTGAAGTCGTGTGTTAAAATGAATCAGAAGAGGAATGAAGGGACTGTCCATGGCCATAACTAGAAAGAAAGGAGCCTCAAGGTCACTGAGAACGGCCGTCCATTACGGTCCCACAAATAACACGTAAATCGATAGTCCTCCTGAAAGCCCGCTGCTAATACGGGGAATAACGTCCCCACCTGGAGCAACAATTTCAATAGCAAACGTTTTCTTTCCTTGAAGGACGTTACATACAGACCCTTCCAGAGAATCTGTGCTGTCTTCTCCCCTTTTGGTAGAAGAAAAAAAAAAGGGTTCAAAACTACTGTAATTTCATCGTAAGCACTTCTGCTCCAGTTTCTAACTTCGTGTCCTTTTCATCTTAATTACCTTACTCGGTAGCCACGCCTGTGTCACCGGTGCCGCACAGACCCTCTTCTCCAACCCCACGTGCAGCCTTTCTGGCAAATGCAGAGCATGTCATTTTCTGGGTGAGTAACAGGCAGCCGGGCACGACGCAGTCAGTCGCTGAATTTTATGCCGCTGCAACTTGTTTAATCAAATCGAGGCAGATATGGTTGATTACATGGACAAAAAGCGACTGAACAAACGCATTTGTTCAGGAGTAACTAAGCATCAGATAATATTATGTAATGCGGAAGGAAGTAACTCCCTGGCTTAATGTTACGGTTTCCATGGCAACTGCATCAGTGGAGGGTGAAGGAGTTCAGAAATATTGGTTTCTTTCCGCGCAGACGTAGAGTATCTCATGCACATGATGCATTTGGTGTCTTTAGAAAAGTATTCCGCTCGTTAGGGAGTGATCTTAGTTATTAATAAGTGAAAATACTGGGGCTATAATCTTAGAGTGAAAACAGGTTGGCATTGCATTTCCCAAGTTCTTTAGGGACAGGAGCGATGCTCAGGTTGGTAGAGGGAGAGGGCCACATGAATTTTACATGTGACGGGGTGTATTCCAAACACAGCCGCCCTCCCACGTAGGCTCTATGAGCCACGGATGGTTTTTTTTTTTCCCCTTCCTTTTCCAAAAACAAAGGCAGCGATGGTGACAACAAAAGGGGGAAGTCCCAGCCAAATGATGAATGCTGCAGAGGGTGGCGGTTCCTGCGGAAAGCAGAAAAGATGAATTACGGGAGGGGAGGCAGAGAGGAGGCTCGGGTTTTGCATGCAGGCTCTGTGGTTCCTTTATCTGCTGCAGCAGCGCGATTACAGGGCAGGGAGGGAGCGGGAGGCACCCTGGGAGCTCCGGAGCCCTGTCTCCAGTGTGGCTGTGCCAGTTTTATGGAGTTCATTTTCATCCCCCTGGGTCAGGTGACGAACAAAGTTAAATATACAGATTTTTCCGAATGCAACTTACACCTCCGGAAGACTTAGAGAAACCCAAGTATTTTGTATTCTGTGGCTGAAGGGGGAAATTCATTTCCGTGGTCACAATGAAGGGCTGAGAGGGGGGAGGGCTGAATTCTGCTCTGGCCTCATTCACCTACAGGCTGCATGCTTTTCCTCCTAATGGCTCAGGTGTGGCTTTTCCCCAAAGGCTGGCTTTTTAATGAAGGGAGCGTCAGAGTTTCCTTCAACCTGAAGACATCCATTAACTAGGGACCTTACCTTTTTCATTCATCTCCAGTGTTTCCTTACTGCCCCTTCCAAGAAGGTTAGTACAGAGGAGAAGCCTGTGTCTCTAAGTTATGCTTAGAGGACACATAGAGGGGTTTCCACTGAGATTTGCTGCATGTCTAGTGCCAATCCTGTGTCAGGTGTCCTAGGTGTATTGTTATTTTCAACTGTGCACATCATCCTCCGGTTCTTTTTTTTTCTTCTTAAGTTTATTTATTCATTTCGAGAGAGGCAGAGAGAGCAAGCGAGGGAGGGGCAAAGAGAGAGGAAGAAAGAGAAAATCCCAAGCAGGCCCTGCACTGTCATCACAGAGCCTGATGTGGGGCTCATATTCATGAAACACGAGACCATGATCTGAGCCGAAACCAAGAGTCGGACGGTTAACCAGCTGCACCACCCGGGCACCCCCAACCTCCAGTTATTCTAACAGACAGCCTCAAAGAGGGCTTCTACCCTGATTCCACATGATCACACATTCATGAGGCTCCCGTTGAGGAACAAGGGAAGAGGCCATCTCTGTGCTGTGCCCTAAACTTTGATGCACACTACAGGGAGCAAGGTCTTAGAGATGCTCCCCCTCCCCTGGCCCCACAAGTTCTAATCATTGGATAATTCCTAACGAGAAGCAAATACAAGCAACGATTTTTTTTCCAACTCTGTTGGAAGTTTAGCCCCACTGGGTCTATAAGAGGATCTTTGGGTCTGTAATGCCATCCCCTTGACACACAAAAAGAATAAGATGTGGCATAACTTAGAAGTAGTAGCCATGTAGTAGCCAAAGTAGAAGCCATGGCAGAAATCTGCCCTCATTTTACCTTCCTTATAATAACAAAAGTAGAGTATTCACCAAGTGCTTGGTATTACCAAGCATTTTTATTTATCCCTCAAGACATTTCAAGATAGATATTACCATCTGTATTGGCCAAGGTTCTCCAGAGAAACAGAACCAATTGTGTGCGCACACGCGTGCGCACACACACACAACGTGTGTGTGTGTGTGTGTGTGTGTGTGTGTGTGTGTGTGTGTGTGTGTGTGTATTCCAAAATCTGGTAAGGGAAGCTGGCAAGCTAGAGACTCAGGAAAGACCTGCGATTTGAGTCCAAAGGCCATCTGCTCTAGAACCAGGAAGAGCTGATTTTGTCGATAAAGTCTGAGGGCTGTCTGTTGGAGAATTGCCTCTTACGTAGAGGAAGCCAGTGTTTTGTTCTAGCCAAGTCTTTGACTGATTAGACAAGGCCCGCTGACATTATGGAGTGGAGAACCATCTGCTTTACTCAAAGTCCACCATAAGTGTAAATCTCCACCCAAAGCCACTCTCACAGAAACACCCAGAATGTTTGACTATATAAGTGAGCACTTTGGTCCACCCAAGCATGGTAGGGATTCAAACCCAAGACTTTGACCCCATATGTTTCCACACACATTGTTAAAACTCAGAGAGACAGCTGCTGCTGACCCTGTCTTAGACCGTGGAGCTCCACAGCACTAGGCTTCCACAGGCAGGTAGGTGTGTCAGCCAAGGGCCAAGTCCATAACTGCCTTTCCTGCCCATTGCCTTCTCTAAACTACTTTTGTGTGTGTGGTGTGCTTTTAAGGGGCTTGCCGGCGAAATAAAGTTTGTGAATGGAGATGTTCTCATGATAAATGCCTTTGGAACCTAGTCTGGTGGCCCCCTTCACACCATCTTGGCCAGAAAGAGGAAAGATGTAATAATTCCTTAGCTATGTTCCCACGGGATGTTTGTTCTCACTGGAGCCCTGGTAGTGATGCTCTGATCCTCATTTTCCTGTGTGGATAGCCAGGTCCAGGTCAGGTTTAGCGACCTACCCCACACTGGGAGACTTTGTGAATGAGACCCCTAGGACCTACACTTTGGTCTGGAGTTTCTTCTCCTGCAAAATGAGTGCCCTGCATCCCTGGTCTGCTCTCTGATGGTTTATCTGATGCCTGAACCAAGTAACAAAGCAAAGACAGAAGCTTCTCCTGCCTCCCCTTGGGTAAGCACGAAAGCTGTGCCGAGCGCATCAGAAGTGAAAAACTAGCTCCGGTCTGCTTTTTGAACAGAGTGGTCACTTACTAAGATGTTCTTCTGTTGGCACGTCTCCAGAATATTCAGTGACTTCTCTGGGAACTGAGGGCAGATGAACAGTCCGGATAAGAGCATTTTAACTGTGGTTGACTCCTGGAACTTGTGTGGCAATGGATTTGCTGGGCCTCCCTGTAGTGCTGGCTCCTCTGTAGAGACTGAGTGGGCGGGGGTGATACGGGTGGGCCAAGAAATAACTTATAAAACCGGCCATGATGGGGCTTGCTTAGTCCAAAGACAGACTACGCGCAAACCCAGCCATCCCATCTTAGCTGCGTGCTGTCGTTGGTATCACACTGTGGGTCTTCTTTCTAGGGTTTCATGAACCACAGTCTGAAACTCAGTTTCCCTCTCCAGCAGCTGCCCTCTCCCACTCTCCTCACCAAAGGAAGTAAAATGGCATTAAGGTGCATCATGAGGTGGTAATCACTGCCAATGTATACTTCCAGGAAGCTAGATTCTTAGCCCTTCCTAGAGTGGGCATGTAAGTCATCCACGCAACTTGTGAAGGAGGGCCACTAATTTTTTGCTGCTAAGGGGGAGGCAAATATACCCCACAAGAGGTAAAACAAGGCACAGCCTGTCCTAGCCTAGAAATCAATTCAAATTCTATCGTCTGAGGATGTGAAGGGCAAAGCTTTCAATGCTCTGCCAGTACAGCTAATTTTTACCCAGGTCCCCAAAGTGAATGAAGTGTGGTGTCTTCAGATATTGTATAGTTCTTTTTCAAATGGAACTTTCTGAAGAGATCGAGTTATTCCAAAGATTTTTGTGTATACGTTTTCTCCTTGAGGTGTGTCTTAGGTGGCATGGGCTGCCATGACAAAATCCATAGACCGGGTCGCTGAAGCAACAGGAATTTACGTCTCACAATTACTGAAATTGGAAGTCGAAGATCAAGGTGCCAGTAGGGTGTGCAGACAGTCACCTTCTATGTCCACACATGGCCTGTCCTTACTGCCTGTGTGCAGGGCGAGAAAGCAAGCTCTCCTGTGTCCGCTCCCATAAGCGCACTAATGCCATCATGGAGCCCCACCCTCATGGCCTCATCTAAACCCAGGCCCCTCCCCATTCAGTTACCATCACAGTGGGGCGTAGGGTCTCCACATATGAACGTGGGGGGAGGACACAACTCTGGGGCTTGGGTATGAAGACCCAACCCTTTTAGCATCAGAATCCCTACAATCGTGTACCAGCTTGTGAGATCTCTTCTGCCTTCGTGTCCCGTTCATTAGCTGGGGGTTTGGTGCTTGTGTTCCAGTGGCTGGCTTGACTGGCAGAGCTTTGCAACCTTTTGGAGCTTCCTCTGCAACAGGTTCTAGTCCTTTCTCATTGGTTCTTGGAAAAATGCCGCCAGGAAGCTCTGTCAGAAGGAAGTGGGTGGCTCGTCCCCATTGTAAAACATTTCTTTTACTAAGAGTCACTAGAGAAGTCTTTGATTAAACACATACAGGAGAACATAATGTCTTGGCCCTACCGAAAAATGGTAAGAAAGAAGAGAGATGGGCAAAGGAGAGTTGACTTGCTTAAATTCTCACAGGGTGTATTGGAGAAAGACCAGCTTTGGAGTGAGACGAACTCCGTTTTGCACTTTGGTGCCACCATTTAACAGCTCAGTGATTCTAGGAAATCTTCATAATTCCTCTGGACCAGATTCCATCACATATAAGATGGGGATTTAAATACCTACCTGGTAACCCTATGAAGTTTTGTCATTTTACATAAAGTACGAAGCACAATGTAGACGCCCCAAATTTGTGATTTCTCATGGTCCTTCATTACAACTATATAATACATTCTTTCCTGGGGGCTCTTAAAGTTCTTCAGATTTCAACCTACCTTCTTCAGGTACTCATGTAATATTTGACACAGATCCTCAA